TTGTTGGTGATTTTGCCACTCTACTTTGAAAATTACAAAGGCACAACAACACATTAAGTTTGATCTGTTGAAACACCTGTAACAGGTCTGAATATGTGTCAACTATAAATATAATGTGATATGGCATGCTGTGTATCACACCAATGAAGTCAATGTTTTTTGCTGTCATTAGATACAGGCGTGGTTAATTGTAAGGCTTTCCCTTCATTTTTTTTTTGTCTGGTCACTGCTCCGTTGCGTTCGTTATTCTAAAAAAAACATACTTTGTCCTCACTTCAGTGAGATACCTTTGAAAGGTTCAAGGTCGTACTTTAAAGTTATAAGCATTACATTGTTTGAATCATGCCCTGCTTTGTATGTACAGTAGCTGCATGCTTCTCATCATCTGTCATGTATTTTTTTTAATGTGTTGCATAAACTTAGGAAGTACCTGCAAAGCAGAAAGTACTTACAGTACATCGGTATACACATATTGGCAGAAGAAAGCCTGCTGTTGCCTCTAATGTGTCACTTCCTGTCATTCTATATATTCATTTATGTTCTGCTTGGATTGCTCCTGGGGAATCACTTACTGTATTTGTCATATTTACATTATTGCTGCTACCTTCAGTATGCCTAGGCTATCAAGCCAGGTTGTCATGTTGTTGATAGATAGTTTACTAATACCCCTCAAATGGAAATGTTGGGCATAAATTAACCTATTTTAATGAATATCATGATGAGTCAAGATCCTTAATAATAATAAACATAAGCTGGGGTTTGTGCAGCATGTATGGTAAAAGAGGAGAGTGGTGTGACACAGAGTGATGTGAATGAATCAGGAATAAACTTGGCTTTTGAAATGAATACTGAAATGCAAATGATTTGCCTGCAGTAAAACGAAACCAACAGTAATAACCACATATCCAAATCAGAGGGAGGATTAAAAGCACAATGGACAACATTGCAGGGTAACTACAGTAGCACCTGATCAGAGCCATCTGTCATGATGAGGTGGGCTGGTTGTTTTAAGGGAGTCACAAATTTAGTTGTTGGAAGCTCATGTGATTATATTTCTTTTCTGTGGCACACAAAAGATAATTTGTTTGTTTTTTTTAATAAAAAGCTAGGTTTTTTTCAGCTGTTTGTAGGATGAGAGTAGCTGATATTTGACACTCACAAAAACCCCATCTGTAGTACTTGTTCTGCATACGAATCAAACTGCCACTGACTGATCTGATATTCCCTCTTTGCATGCTGAAATTAAAATGCATGATGTTCATTAAACGACATATTTCACTAACATGAAGTCTGACAACTGTTCTGGCAATAGCTTAAGCACCTTAAAAGATATTTTACTTTCGATTCACATTGTTTTGTTTCAATGTTCTTTATATAACTTATTTAAGCAAACTGCTAGATCTTGTCTGCATTCATTTGTTGTAGAACTGTTTTGCTATGTACATTTAAATGGGCCGTAGTACGAAAAAAGTTCATATCTCCTTCCGCTTGGTGTCGTCCTTGTCAAGGTGAGCTGAGCTGGCGTATTCCATCATTTACAGAATATGTTGCTTTTTAAGGAAACTCCACATTGATTGCTATTTTAAACTTTAATGGTAAGAGCGAAATTGAGGATATCAAATGTATTTTTGAAGGACACTAAAAACGCTTGTTTTTGGTTGCTTCATTTTCTATTACTTTGAATGCGCCATTATTGCAGTGGGGCATTGAATGCACCACAGGCCAGTCTGCTCTGTGGCGGCGGTGGGGTGGGATTTTCTAGCCGTTACGTCCCGGAGTTTTCCTGTTGCCACTCGGATAACATGGCGTAGCGACGTGGACGTACGGGGGGTAGCGCTGGTGGGCACGAACACGTTTACGAACTGACCACAGTCGACTGGATTAAAACCGGACCAGAAACGAGATATCGAAAATACTGATTCGTTTTAAAAGAGTTACGGTAAGTTCTAAGTTTTACTAGGTTGTATGCGTTGTCTGTGATTTACCCCCACCCCCAAAAGATTCTGGTTTTGTTTCAGTTACTAAACAAACTGTGACTGGTTCATGTTAGCGTGTGTATACGTTTAAGTAACGCTAACTTACTTACTAACTTACTAACGTTGTAGGGCTAAGTTGCTTCCAGTAGGGTCTGTTATCCGCGCAATTAACCGGTGGTTTAATTTCAGTCACGGGTAAATGATTTAGTTGTGTATTTACTTAAGTTGTTATGGTAATAGTTACACTTATACGTTCATATTTAAGTTTCGTTGAAACATATTAGGTTACAACACCGACAGACAGTAGTGGCCCAGTTTTAGGGCTCAAAGTGTTCCTTACGTGAGAAAGAAAGTCTTTCTAACATTAGTTTATGACTCAGTGAGGAAAACGACGCCTAGTGCCCGAGGCCACATCTTTTTACACATTTAACTGAATCACGGCACTGCAGCTCCGTGGTCCTACCTTCTTGTTTATGGGTAAACAAACGGTATAACACCGGCCACACCGTGTTAATTTCGTATCAGTCATTTGATTAGTGATATCTGAAGTGTTTGAAATGTTTAATTTACACGACAATGACTGAAAATGACATTTTGCTCCCAATTATACTGTCTCATATTAATAGTTATACAGGTGCCCAAAACTTATTGTATTGAGAATATTTATAAAAAGTGATCCAAGACAACCTAAATTCTCTGAATCCCAGGTCAGAACCAGAGGTACTATACTACTTTAGAAGAAACCATGAACCTGGTGTCTTCGGACATTTCTTTTAAAGTAAATCAAGAAAGCAGTAGCCTTATTTTGCCAGACTTATATGCAATCAATTGCGTTAATCCTTCTTGTAAAACTTTTCAGTGATTGCTTTCATTGTCCACCGAATAATCTCTTTTAATCTAGGCCAGGAGTGGCTCTAGTCATGGATGTTGCCATGTCATATCATCATATCTTATAGCTCAAAAAATATGTACAAAGCTACAAAGTTTGTGTTTAAATTGTAACAGGAAGATACCATGTTT